AAACAGTTCAAAAGTTTTATGACCTGACGTAACGATGAACATTTGATTGGCTGTCGAGCAATTGTTTGCATGTGCCGAACAGAAGAGCGCGGAGGCGGACATAAGGGAGCGCAGCAACAGACGGATGAGACATCAAAAGAGCGACTCGAGAGGTGAAGGCAGACAGATGAAACGCAGAGTTAATACAGCGTGTCACGCTTCAATATTTGAGGCACGACATTTCGACATATGTAAGACTGTCAAGAAAGATGTTGCATAATGTGACGGATTAACCGTGCGTCGAGTCTCTCTTCCAAGCACCATAAAGTTCACCGGAAATAATGGTAGTCTGCATATTGCCGTGCATGCGTTTATGAATGTGCCAAATTAGTCCGAATGAGAGCTGGGGCTAATATTCTGGTGATCTGAGTCAAAAGTATTAGAAGCAATTTCAGTATAAAATATCCATTCCGTTATCCGAGCCACTTATCCTGACGAGGGTCACGGGCGTGCTTGCATGTGGGCGCGGGGTACACCCTGAACTGGTTGCCAGCCTATCGCAGTCAACCATGATAATAAATATATTGCTATTTACAGTAGAACCTCCAACAGTGCCAATCAAAACAGACCATTGTTTTTTTTTTGGGGGGGGGCAATGCAGAATGTTTGATTCAGTTCTGGTCTTGAATGTCATTATATTTTTTATTAGGGTTGTAGTAAAGTCCACCCTTATTAAGCTCAAGTCAAGTTCAAGTCACAAAGGTCTGAGGCAAGTCAAGTCCAAGTCCAAAAAGTCCGAGATCAAGAGTAAACCTTAAGACCGAACGTTACAATTTTCACGGCCACAAAATTTCATGATCCTCAACACGCTTTTTAGATGGCGTGGAACAATTTGCTTTATTAACCGTGCGTGCAGATGAACAACAAAAACAATTTCCAAAACAATATTGCTTTATTAATGATGATCGACCTTGAGGGAACGACGAGGAGGAGATTGTGCACGGGGGAGCAGCAAACTACATCGAGCAGTGAGAGGCGGCTACAAAACAGTACCGAACTCACAATTTTCAAAAAGGCCAATTTATCTTCCAAGAGGTATAATGAGATGGAAAAATATCGACTGGAGAACTTTGCCGCCACACTTGAACCGGACACGCTAACACAGAATGCTTAAAGGGGAAGTCAACGCAAATATTTTCTTGACAATAATATGTTCTACATGGCCCCACTAGTCGAAACATTCAGCGTATTTCAGTCTGTGAAAAAGTTTCCAGGTGTTGTTGAAGACAACTTTTTGCAACGTCTCAGACAGGCTCCCTGTGTCTGATTGCCTATGGTGCTATCACCCAGTGAGAGGGGGCCAAACATGACAGAATGGTAATGACTCCAGTGAGACACACACACACACACACACACACACACACACACACACACACACACAGGTATATATACCAGCTGCTGTTTTCTGCCTTACGCAGCAAACTTCTCCTAAGTTCGAATACCATCTTGACTCACATTAAGAACTCACGGAAAAGTGTGATTACAGACTCTCTCTCTCTCTCTCTCTCTTTCTCTCTCTCTCAAACACACACACACACACACACACACACACACACACTCGCTTGTTTGACACTAAATGCCATTGTGGTGGCTGAAAAGAAACAGCCACACTTGGAAAAGGTCATGGAGTTAGTCTAGTAAGCTGGTCCGGTGCGCCCCCCCCCCCCGGTCTAAATAGGTGCTTGATGCCTCATTACTCCTTGATAATCATCCATCCTGTTTGTGCTTCCTGTTAAATTAAGTAAAGCATCCTCATGCCAGGAAATTATGAACAGCGCGTTGTTCAATTACAAATCAGAGGTGGCACAATCCAAGTTACGTGCATAAATATCCACTCATCCGCTCCTTTTACTTGAACATGAATCTGAAAAAGCCTCCTTGCTGCAGTACCATTCAAGACTGAAATGACTGAACACATTTATGAGGGTGTTTCATTTGCCTGCAATCTGTCGAGAGTGAAAGTTAACATTTCGCATAAAAAGGCCTGGTGTGCAAAAAGAAAAAGTCACCTAATTGAGCTTATACTTTTGCGTTTGCCGCTAAAACTTTTACAGACAACCTTTAACTTTGAGTCGCTGTCAATAGTTTTTCTTCCGAAGAGCCGCAGGGAAACAAGCTCTTTGTGATAAAGACCGCGTTTTATGCATTCAATCAATTTTACACGAGAGGACAACAAAAATGGTTTTCGTAATCCAGCACAATTTCACTTTATGGCTTCAACCTATTATAATGAGAAATTAAAAGAAAGTGCCACACTTCAGCACATCATTTATTGATCACAATTATTATTATTACATATTTTTTAAACATCTTGGGCCAATTATTTTAATGCTATTTCCTAAAAAGTATGTTTTCTTTTAGTTTTTTCACCTACGATTTATATATTGTGCCATTGCATTGTTATCCCTCTTATGGATTTGTGCTCGATTAAGCAACACATTAAAAAAAAAAAACATCCCCTCCTGCACACATGCTTATCTGAACTTTCATGAAAATGCATGAGGAGAAAAGTAAGGCAGATGTCCCAGTATTGCCATAAGAGCAAGGCACTTACTTAGCATGGACCGCATGCCATATGGTGTGTTGTGACATCCATTTTCTTTAGCACTTCCTGATCGAGATCACAGGTGAGCTGGACGATTTATCCCTGCGAACGCTGGGTGAGAGGCGGATGAAATCCCTCCACTGGTCAGCAGCCAATCACAGGGCACATGCAGATAAACAACCGTTTGCCAACCATGGACAATTCAGAGTCCACGAGAACCAAAGATGCATGTTTTTGGAAGATGAGAAGAAGCCACAGTGCGCTAGTTACGTGTGGATTCCATCTTCCAAACAGTTCAAAAGTTTTATGACCTGACGTAACGATGAACATTTGATTGGCTGTCGAGCAATTGTTTGCATGTGCCGAACAGAAGAGCGCGGAGGCGGACATAAGGGAGCGCAGCAACAGACGGATGAGACATCAAAAGAGCGACTCGAGAGGTGAAGGCAGACAGATGAAACGCAGAGTTAATACAGCGTGTCACGCTTCAATATTTGAGGCACGACATTTCGACATATGTAAGACTGTCAAGAAAGATGTTGCATAATGTGACGGATTAACCGTGCGTCGAGTCTCTCTTCCAAGCACCATAAAGTTCACCGGAAATAATGGTAGTCTGCATATTGCCGTGCATGCGTTTATGAATGTGCCAAATTAGTCCGAATGAGAGCTGGGGCTAATATTCTGGTGATCTGAGTCAAAAGTATTAGAAGCAATTTCAGTATAAAATATCCATTCCGTTATCCGAGCCACTTATCCTGACGAGGGTCACGGGCGTGCTTGCATGTGGGCGCGGGGTACACCCTGAACTGGTTGCCAGCCAATTGCAGTCAACCATGATAATAAATATATTGCTATTTACAGTAGAACTCCCAACAGTGCCAATCAAAACAGACCATTGTTTTTTTTTTGGGGGGGGGCAATGCAGAATGTTTGATTCAGTTCTGGTCTTGAATGTCATTATATTTTTTATTAGGGTTGTAGTAAAGTCCACCCTTATTAAGCTCAAGTCAAGTTCAAGTCACAAAGGTCTGAGGCAAGTCAAGTCCAAGTCCAAAAAGTCCGAGATCAAGAGTAAACCTTAAGACCGAACGTTACAATTTTCACGGCCACAAAATTTCATGATCCTCAACACGCTTTTTAGATGGCGTGGAACAATTTGCTTTATTAACCGTGCGTGCAGATGAACAACAAAAACAATTTCCAAAACAATATTGCTTTATTAATGATGATCGACCTTGAGGGAACGACGAGGAGGAGATTGTGCACGGGGGAGCAGCAAACTACATCGAGCAGTGAGAGGCGGCTACAAAACAGTACCGAACTCACAATTTTCAAAAAGGCCAATTTATCTTCCAAGAGGTATAATGAGATGGAAAAATATCGACTGGAGAACTTTGCCGCCACACTTGAACCGGACACGCTAACACAGAATGCTTAAAGGGGAAGTCAACGCAAATATTTTCTTGACAATAATATGTTCTACATGGCCCCACTAGTCGAAACATTCAGCGTATTTCAGTCTGTGAAAAAGTTTCCAGGTGTTGTTGAAGACAACTTTTTGCAACGTCTCAGACAGGCTCCCTGTGTCTGATTGCCTATGGTGCTATCACCCAGTGAGAGGGGGCCAAACATGACAGAATGGTAATGACTCCAGTGAGACACACACACACACACACACACACACACACACACACACACACACACAGACATATAC